TTGCAGTCTCAAGTAGTTGTTTGCAGAATTCTTTAATTGAAAGTAGCCGCCTGGTCAGTTAGTTATCGTTTGCTATAAGTATTGCAAAGGCTGTTTAATTGTGATATGCTTATAACTTTTTCTAGGTCTGAGGAAGCTGTTATATCAGCGAAAGCTCACCAATAAAGCTTGAGAAAGAAGTCCTCAAACAACTACAAAGATTTGCTAAAGAGAAATTTTTTGTTTGAAAAAAAGCTTACCCACTACTTAGAGATAACTAATAGAGAAGGTAAAGCCTCCTGTTGGCTGCTGAGGATGTTCTGCGAAAGACGGTGGAGGGAAGTTTACAGTGCGTCTCCTAATTATACAGCCACCTAGAAATTGTTAAAAAATCTCGAATTCCACAAAGTTTATGGAAAAATAAAGAAACTGTGTGTTCTATTTGGTCGCGTATATGATTGTGCTGGAAAATCAATATGAAATTCCAGGTTGAAAATGCGGAAAAAATTTTATTCCAATTTTTCCAAAAAACGTCGCTTTTCCATCGTCTCCAAATGATACAGCCACCCCGTGTTTCTTCGTTGCATTTCATTTGTGTTTGTATGTATGTGATGTATGTATGTATGTATGTATGTATGTATGTATGTATGTATGTATGTATGTATGTATGTATGTATGTATGTATGTATGTATGAATGTATGTATGTATGTATGAATGTATGTATGTATGTATGTAAATCAAGGATGCGTTGTTTGTGTGTAGAGTGACGGAAAAATGACGTAACACGATAATTGTCGAGATGGGATTGCAGGTAAATCTCAAATAACTAGGATGTTCTGTGACTCAGGAGCTTATTGGAAATGTGACTTTTGAATTTTTTCAATGAATTAGGAAGAGCAATATTTTTTTGTATCTTCTTTATGTATGAGCTAGCAGCTCTGAATGGCTCTAGATGAGTTTCCTGCGGCCAGCTAATAAGTATGTATTTAGTTCGACCACCCTTGCACCGGCCTGTTGTGTGTGTGTGTATTGTAGTGAATAATGTAATATATATTCGGTCCAATTTATGTTGGGACAGAAGCTTGTAAAACCATAACAAGAATCGAGGATTTTGCGCCGAGACTCGGGTGAAAGACCAACGATAATGTGTGCGTTTTTAATCAAAGCTTTAGGAATCCATGGGATTGAAAATGCCCTGCGAACGCAGAACCATTTTGTGCTGTGTGTTTTTTGCGTTGTGAGTTGTTTTGCACCTTTTTAATGCAATGACATTTCTGATCAATGAAACTGATTGGCAGTACTCAATTGTTCTTTCTTAGGTTATCAGGAAAGGAAAGCAACTATTGGACTTTGAAAAAGGGAAATCGTCACAAAATAAGAAAAATTAAGCGCCAGGTGGTCACATCGCGCGAAAATTTCGTCGAGCTACGGAATGATTAGCAATTTCTTTTTGAATCCTGTAGAAAATGGAACTTAGAAGGGCTCCGGACGTTATTCTTCGCTTTTTGATTAAGATAAATGCAACATTATGAGAACAGCACCAAATTTCACCAAGGCGGGTTCGGAAATTGAGTCTTCTTTAGAACTTAATCTCCTACTGGATAGTGCTAGGAATGTGTGTTAGGACGGTGATTTTGAAAAGAAACCGTCGCTAAAACCGAGTCATTTTTGCAGGGGAATTCCGACCAAGCCAACCGGAGCAGGATCCATTTTCGGCCTGTTGTGTTTTACTTCTTATCTGCTTTACCTTTGACTTTCTCCTCGCTATTAAAAGCATTACTCCAGGACGGAACCATCTCGAGCGAAACGCTTAAAAGAGTGGCAGAAAAGAAGTAAAACACACACAGGCCGAAAATGGATCCTGCTCCGGGGTTTGGGTCGCGAATTTAATGTATTGACTGCTGACGGTTTTTCTTTTCAAAATCACCGTCCTTTTCATATTCAGCTTGAGAACGATCTTGGAAGTTGTTTATTGCATTCCCAGCACTATCCAGTAGGAGATTAAGTTCTAAAGAAGACTCAATTTCCGAACCCGCCTTGGTGAAATTTGGTGCTGTTCTCATAATGTTGCATTTATCTTAATCAAAAAGCGAAGAATAACGTCCGGAGCCCTTCTAAGTTCCATTTTCTACAGGATTCAAAAAGAAATTGCTAATCATTCCGTAGCTCGACGAAATTTTCGCGCGATGTGACCACCTGGCGCTTAATTTTTCTTTTTTGTGACGATTTCCCCTTTTTCAAAGTCCAATAGTTGCTTTCCTTTCCTGATAACCTAAGAAAGAACAATTGAGTACTGCCAATCAGTTTCATCGATCAGAAATGAAATGCAACGAAGAAACACGGGGTGGCTATCATTTAATATAAGTGAAAGCGTGGAAAAACTGGAACAAAATTTATATTGGTGTGAATTTGTATTCATTTCGAATCTCGAGACCAAATTTGACACAGTTTCCTGTTGTATTATCCGTAAACTATATATTCGATTGATTTTTAACATTTTCTCGGTGGCTGTAAATTGGTACGCGTGTATAATCAGATAAAGAGACACTCAACCTGAATGTTCAGTTCACCATATATCTAAATATATATATTTCACCTCAACTTCCTTGGTGTTATCAGCCTTACTAGGTTGGGTCAATGGGACATCATACTCGCAATTCCCAGCCTACTTTGGTTGTGGGATTCATAGGTATAGTAATATTGTTACCTGCAAATGTTGAACGACTTTGAATGCAAAGCCCTACTCATGATCTCTCTACTCTCACTACTACGTCTTTGTACCCTAGATGATTGGTTGATGTTGATATGTAATACGTGAACTTTAGTGAGGTCTGAGCAGTTGTGTGTGGGTATAGAAATGTGATTCGAACCTAAGGCAAGAAGCGTTGCTCGAAAGAGAGCTTCCGAAAGGCTCCCAGTGGATTAATGTTGTGTTCTGTTGGGTTTTTTTATTAATGTATATGTTACATTGTAGTTGGCCATAAACATTTTCACTTAGAAAAAAATGGATGGGGTGGCAAAATTTTCATTACTGGTGGGACAAAAATTGCACAATTTTCGAGAGGATTGAAAACATTGAGGAGTATGTATACTAATGATCTGTTTTTGTAGAGCACTCGAAGGAAGTATCGAGGTCATGTGGAGAGTATTGGTCTTAATTCGCCTTTATTCATTTATTTACTCCGTGCTTCGGTAACGGCAAAACGAACCTCTGAATTGTGCTCAGAACTAAAGCTGTTGTGTGCAAAGGATGAGCGCTGAAACAAAGGATGACGCTAGGAACTCACATCAAGTTGCAAATAAGTTGGGCAGTAGAATAAGTTTCCTGAGTTGCCAGAAATTGCTGGGAGCAGGAAGACAACATTAGAGAAACGGAGTCTTCACGAATACTGTAGCCTCGAAAAGCAAGATGATCCTTGACGTCAAGGTAGTAGCCCAATTGTGAAACTTGTAGAGCAAAAGTTTCAGGTGAGTGAAGACTCGCCAGAAGGTAGGTGTGACTGGCGGTGAAAAATTGGAAGGAGATGGCGAGTTTAGGTCATAACAGCAGGAGTATTATATTATATTTTATCTGGCCCAGAATTCTGTTTTATGATTATTGGCCGAGAATACAGGAAGAAGGGGAGGGAAGTGGGAGAGGAGCGGGAGATTATGCCCATAGGGCACCCCAGTAAGCTAGGGCCGCATAGGACGACGCCGTTGCAGGAAGTCTCAAAGCAAAATATCTCTAAGATGTCCCTCTGTAAGCAGGACCAAGTACTTGTTCACCGCCGTCATTGTCCTCAGTGTACAAAGTGATTCGCTGTGCCTGAACTGCGCTGAATCCGACGGTCCTCAACCATGCTCCATGCTCCCGTAAAAGGCTCTAATTTTGCTATAGACTACCACAAGATTGGTCCCCCGGCGACAGCCGGAACCTCCCTTCCCTGCGTTAGCTTTGCGTTCCACGGCGAAGACATTTGCACCGGCGCCGTCTTTCGCTGCGTACCTCTGGCAAGTTGCCATTCGCTGGCCCCGCCCCCATCTCGATCGATGGCTACGATGCACCGCACGCGCCAAAACCAAAGATTTGTCTTTATTTTTGCTACTATTCGCTACTTCTACACATATTCGAAGCTTTTTGCTACTATTCACTACTTCTACACCTATTCGAAGCCTACGACCTCGTGACCGAGAGGATATTCTGACAACTACTGCAATTCATCTGATTTTGGAATTCCGAACTTACTTTCCTTGAACAAAGGATTTATTTCGGAAACTACTGTTATTCAACTGGTTCTACAAATATTCACTACTACTATCCGTAATGCAGGTGCTTTGACTGATATTCGCAAGTGATATTCTCGTCCTTCAGCTGCTTTCACAGGCTTTCAAAGGTCACAGGTATGGAAATCACAGCTTTAAGTTTTTCAAATTCTTTTTGGTGCAATCGACCACCTCATCTGAATGATTGGTTACTAATTTGTGCGGTGTTTTTCCTTTCCATTATTTTCTCTCAACTGTCTATTTTGTGCTAGTATTTGATGCTGATAACCTGTGAGATTTCACCTGTGATTTCCATCGTTCTCAATGTCCCTTTATTCCGGCAGTTCCACATACGATCTGTTATCGGGTCTAACAGATGTGGTCACTCGATTCCGAAGAGTGAACCTTCTGTTATGGCAACGAGACCAGGATCGAGATCAGCTTTTTTGAACATATCCCTCAGTCTACAGTAGGCGTCATCTCTGGACCAACAAGCTGGTCCCAACTGGAGGTGTTGAAATGAATGGTGTGAATAGCTCGCGGTTATTTCGCAAGCTAGGAATTACATCTTCTTTTGACAGCCCATAACTATCCAGCTACAGCCCATGCCAATTCTCTTCCTAATCCTGCTCCTGCTTCAGTTCATGCCACCTCTTTTTTAATTACCACCGCATACTCGTTCATTTGGTGTATATAACAATTTATTACGTTTGTAAAATCTATCTACCAGGAAATGTCAAGTTCTCTATGGACATGTCAGCTGTGCAATAAAGTTATGTTACGGAAGAGTCTCTACTCCCATCTCCGAGTGGTGCATCTCTTGACCAACGAGCAAGTAGAGGTAGTGAAGGCTGATGTGAGGCGCCAAGCAGCACAATTGAGTGAAACTGAGAGAAGAGATGTTGTCTGCCCGTTATGTGAGGAGTGTTTTGTGGACCAAGAACTACTTGCCAATCATTGTAAAGAAGAGCACGAAGAAGACGGAGCAGAGGGAGAGGCACAAGATTACACAGTTTTCACTCTCAACTTCCGCAGCAAGCAAGAGTTTGACGTAAGCTCTTCAAACGTGTTTGGTAATTGTACTTTAACGAAATTACCGTACTTTTTGGAAAACAAGCACTACAGGAATGGCTAGAGGATCGGCAGCAACATGGAGGAGTATCATTCCATACGCGCGACAGTTCGCGCTCCTATGGAACAATTTATTTAAGGTAGCTGTGAACTCATTTTATTTACTTAATCCAATATTTGCAATAAATTACTTTATATCAGATGCAACAGGGCAGGAAGATACATTAGAAAGACGGAGACTCAGGCTACACACACTAAGAAAGATGTGTCGCACTGTTCCTGTTTTCTTAACGTGAAAATAGAGGATGACGGAACTGTGAGTGTGAAAGGATGCCTGGGACACGTTGGCCACAAAGTTGATCCTGCCCTTTTACGTCTCACGCAAGAACAGCAAGTTTTCCTGAAAGGGATGTTAGAAGGTTGTCAGTTAATGTAGAAAGCTCAGTGTTCGCCGTGACTCTGAATAATCTTTCTTTTCAGAATTTTCGCATGACTACATCATTAAACGCCTCAGAAAGGACTTCTCAGCCACTACATCAAGACTATACTACGTGACCAAAAAAGATCTTTGGAGTCTTGTGGAGCGATTTGGATTGAGACCTGGACACCGTCATAAAGATGACATGCAGTCTTTGAAGGCAAGACAAGAAGAGGGAAATCCAGACGACGGAATCAGACTCCTAGAGCTAGCTGAGGACCCTTCGGGAAGGGGATTTCGCATGAGTGAGGACTGTTACACATGAAATGAACTTGTTCATAGATAAACATTGTTTTCAGTCATCATCACCCCTCAGCAAGTAGAATGGTTGAAGAAGTTTTCACATCGCGGTATCTCCGTTGATGATACGCATAATGCCACCCGATATAATCTCAAGCTTGCGACGGTGACAGTGTTGAACGAGAGGGACACGGGCGTTCCAGCAGGTAGGTGACTTCATTTACTATTCATGAATTTACTGGAACTAAACCGAAAATGTTTAAGCCTTTCTACTCAGCGGATCTATGACTTCTGCAGATGTGGAGAAACTTTTTCTCGCGATCCAAAGCGTGATGCCCGAATTCAACCCTAAGCAAATAGTCACCGACGAAGCGCCATGCTTTTACAATGGTTTTCGTTCGGTGTTTCCTCATTCGCAGGCCAAACTGCACTACTGCAGATGGCACATTGAGAAGACGTGGCAGAGAAACGCTAATAAATTAATCAAAGAAGTTTGTGATCTTAATATTAGTGATGCGATATGTAATCTATCCTTTTCTGAGACTTCATAAACTATAGTTTCAGCCTCAAATCCGTAATAGACTGAAGATGAAGCTGAGAGATCTTCTCAAGATAGAAGACTTGCCCACGTTCCAACAAAAGTTTGGTGAAATTCTCGCGTTCCTTCGAGTCGAGGGCCAGGGTCGGATGGAGGATTACCTGAGGCGGAACTATCTGGGTACAAGTTGATTTGAATGTGGTAATTTATCCTCACTTAACGGAAACCCTTTTAAGATAGAACGCCGACGTGGGCATCATTCTCGAATCAGGGTGCCATAATGGACACCACCATGATTAGTGAGAGGTGGCACTTGCGTTTGAAAACGGAGTTTCTTCACAGAAACGCTAACGCGAGAGCAGACTGTTTGGTGGACCTTCTTATTAAGGCCGTGGAAGAGATGTCGAAGTCTGATGAAATCAAGGTATATCACACAATTTAATAACTTAACTAAATAAGGCATCACTTTCTTAAGGCTCGTCGTCGGCTGGCTGAGTCCTCCTACCGCGTCCAACAGACCACCATATGCCACCGCCAGGCCATGAAACTTTTTCTTCCATTTCCTGATAGAATCTGCCTACTGAGCACAGACAAATGGCAAGTACTTACAAGGCAACCTGAGGGACCCTACATGTACATTACCCATGTACAGCGGCGTGGCGACTGCGAATGCAGTGACGTTGCAGAGGGGAACGTCCACTGCCCCCTCTGCGATGTCTGCCCGTATGCATGGTCCTGCTCCTGCACGGACAATCGTGCAGGAATTAGTTGTATGCATCGCCACGCCGTGATGCTTCACTGTCAGCCTCCCAATAGGGCGGCATTTAGAATCACTGCGGAACAGGCAACTGAGGAAGTGGTGGTACCTGAGGATACCCCCGGACCAAGTACTGCACCATCCTCGGTGGAAATAAGCGCCGCTCAGGAAAGAAGGGAGCAAAGAGATCAATTAAGAAGCTCTATCAATATGGTGAGCAGAGAGGAATTGCAATCATACTTGATAAAAAACGAAATTTTCAGAAAGTATCTGTGCTTCAAACTAATGTGAATGCATTAGTCAACACAGATACCGAGGAGGCAAAAGAAATGCTTTTGGCGATCGAGGACTTGGTAGATGAAGCCTCGAAAATTTATCTGACACCTTTGACAGGGATAGCCGTGCGACCAGAGCAAGCGAAACATGGAGGGAAACCGAAGCAGTCAAAAGTACAGCTCTACACAGTGAGTTTTTCCAATTTCATGGTCATTGCATCCAATTTTCATAAACAAGTTGCAGCGTAAGCAAAGCCGTGTTGCGAAAAGCGGTCCATCACATGACGGTTCTGGCAATGATGGCGAAGAGTCTCGAGAATAACATAGTAATGAATAATGCACAATGAATAATAAAGTGTTGTCAATCTCTCAATGTACTATTGTGTTCAACATAGAAAGTCAAACTATGAAATAGACATGTACGGAGAGAAATAAGTTTTACTAATTCATGGAACAGTTATGGATGCCGGTACAAACTGAAATGAACACAACTCACAGAAAGTTTGGTTACAATTCACTTCACACCGACATACCACTCAACATATTTGGGGCACACAACGAAACTTACCTGAATGAAGAAGCTGTGCACAACTTGGAATAATTATATGCCAGAAAGAATAGAATTACAGACCGACAGAAGTAGAATATGGGGGTTAGCAGGTGTTGAATAGGATTACTGGGAGGAATAGCATTGAGTAGACCACAATAAACAAGACGGTGATGCGAGGTTTGGCAGTCTTCCCTTTATATTCTCGATTTTGGCGCGCGTAACATCGCAGCCATCGATCGGGATGGGGGCGGGGCCAGCGAATGGCAACTTGCCAGAGAGGTACGCAGCGAAAGACGGCGCCGGTGCAAATGTCTTCGCCCTGTCGCACAGCAATAGATACGTATCGATCGTCGAATACTCAGGCAAGTCTGACGATCGATACGCATCTAATGCTGTGCGACAGTTACGATCGTTGCTGTCGGACGACCGACTATGCATGCGCCTCATATTCACAAAGTGTGACATACGACCCGTAACACCTACACATGAGAGAAAAATTTAAAAATGAATGAAATATCTCACGTTCGCCATGCCCTCAATTGAGTTTTCAGTGTTGCGATCCTCGGACGTCTTCTTCTTATCAGGCTCATCAGACTTTTCCAAAAGTGCGATCTTGCCGTCCTCCAACCAGATTAGTTCGTACACAAGAAGCTCTGCCTCGGCGGTAGCAACCACCATTATTGTGCTGTTCCAAAGAAGACTGAAGTAGTATATCTAAAACAGCTCCGAGTAATGCAAAAGACTGGAAAATGGAAATTTTGACATATGGTACGAATAACGTGAC